CACATGTGTGTTTTCTCATAACAAAGGATGAGCACACTTACATTCTGCTGTAATTGACTTCATTCACCTAATAAATCCTTTCATAAAGATGCTCATTCCTCACTCCAAGGACAGCTGATGAGAACGCAAGGGGTGGGGGGGAGCACAATGCCCAGAGGGGGGTGACGTTAGATCAGGATCTATGCCTTTAATAAACAGAGGAAGTATTGTTATGGGATGGATGGCTGACATAATAGAATTAGAAACATATTTTATTTTGGGACAGAGGCAGGTCTCCTCTGATTGGTGGATTTCTGAAAATAAACACAACTTGTGTCGTGAATGTGCCTTGCTAGATAAAAGGGTTTCTAAGAAGCCAAACCCAAAGGATTTTCGAACAAAAAGACGTGGCAAGCAACTATTAAAAAACGGTGCCTTGTTGAATGGCATCAGCTCTCTCAGACAGCTAGCCCCTTGCTTGCTTCCAAGGGAAACTGGAGGAAGAGGAAAGCCAAACTCTGACGCAGTAAGTGCATCCGCATCCGTGTTAACGTTCTGAACACTGCGCTGGAAGGCTTCAGCCTTCTCTCGGCTTCTGTACCCGCCGACTCTACGAGGCTTCAATGCTGTGTTCACAGCTGAAGTGTTCGCGACAGAGATTTGCCAGCTTTAGCAAACGGAAGTGCGGGAGTCCCGGTTAAATCTGAATCCCAGATAAATCACAAGTCTTCTGTCTACATGTGTCATACAAGAGACTCAGGACTTTCGTACTAAAAAAAATTTCTATTGTTCCTATAAAATTCCAGTTTAGCGGAATAACCTGTATTTTATCTGGCAGCCTTCTCTGGGAAGCTCCCTGTCTCAGAGGGAGAGGGGTATTGGAAACACAAAGCGACTGCTTACTTGGAGGGAAGGGAGGAGCAATGTAGATTCCCATGACTAACATCAGCTTTGCATTTCAGGAGGTATTTCCCTGGGAGAAAACTAAATGGTTGCCTGATACCAGCTCCTGGACGATGGCAGTGGGCAATGACGCCTTCGCTTTACGTCACAGCAGCCAAGGTGCTCCAATTGTTCCTGCTCCCACTGTATGGTTGGCCATGGGCAAGCCCTGGTCGTCTGGACAGCAAGGGACTTTTCCTGATCTTTCTGGCTCTGGTCATGTCTTTCAGATAACGATGCTAGTGTGGGTTCAGGGCTGTTCCCTCCCAAATTCTTCACAGGGACGGTACATAGCCATGTTCAGAAGAGAGTTAGGAATCCCAAGAGCATTGGTCCTTAGACACAGTGACCAGCACTTTTAATTGATAATGAGATGACAAAGGAGAGAAGCAGAAGCCCTGAGCCGCAGCAAAAGCAAGGTAATTTGCCCAATTTGTTTTCTGGGAAACTAAGGCTTTATGTCAGGATTTTGCAGTAAAACTAACCGAGGGACTCACACTCAGCTCCATAAAAGGCTTAATTGCCTTGTTGTGAACCGTTTTCCCTTAATGGGGGAATTCACCAGCTTTTTAATCTCCTTTATTTGATTAACATTAGCATCAACAACTGCAACCTATGTTGGTTTCTGGTAAAGTACCGCTACCAAATTAATAAAGACAATAGGTTTGCTTTGCTTTATTTTCTCAACTATAAGAACCCCAGGCTGTCAGGAGCAGCCTTCTTTGGGAGAAAAATTCCACAAAGACAGAATGTATAGCTGTGTAGCTATTTAAGGAAGGAATCTGCAATCAGTTGTCATTGTCACCTAAGGCAGCAGCTTGCCACAGCTGCCCCTTCAGAGCTCCTCATCCGTCTAGCCTCCTATGATGGTTATTTAAAGGAAACACGAAGTCAGTTCTTGGTGAGTAACAGATGACGGGCCACTGCCAACGCCAGTCATGGCAATCCCCTATAGGAGGGGGTCTGAGCCGGAGTGTAGGCGGGTGGCTTACGGAGGTTACCGAAGTTTCTGTTAGTCCGGTAAGAGGCATTTTAAGCACGGGAAGTGAGACAATGGCAGTTACTGAAAACGCTAGCTGGATTCTGAAATAGATTCGGCCTGCTCAGAACCCCACACCCTACACAGTCTCAGCCCTCCTCGCCACTTGACTTTCAGGGTTCTCCAATTACAACGCTATCTCAGCACACCTATCTAATAAATAGTTCTTCTTAAGTTTTTCTTCTCCTTCCCTCTTTTTTCCTGCCATTATCTGCAGGGATTTTCCAACATACCTAAAGGAGAGGAGGAGCGGACAGGCGGTAAGCTTTTCTCCTAAGTCAATTTTATTCTGAAACTGTATTCTTCCTGTTGTTTTGCTGCTAAGTTAGCCTTGCTTTTCGTAACACACTGGTGCTGGTTCAATTTATTTTAGATTGTTGATGTCCTTGATTCAGAAAACAAATGTCACTCACTCTGTGCTCGCCACCCCACATTTGTGTACCTGTGTGTTCATTATTACCTGTGTATTTATGTTCAATGGTCAATTGAAATTAAAAGTTTCGGGAGGCAGGCTTGGCTCATTTGCCATCACAAGATGGCCCATCCGTGTGCCAGGCAGTCTTGACATGACACCATTGATAGAATGTCTCGGACAGCAGAAACAGCATCTCGTAGTTCTGGATGGTGGAATGTCAGGCCAGAGGGATGCTTTGCTACCTTCGGAGGCTTCTTGGCTTACAGAGAGCCTCCTTCCTGCTGTGTCCTCGCAGGGTCTTTACTCTGTGTGTGATCATTCCTGGTTCTTTCTGCCTGTTAGAGTCCCCTCTCCATATAAGGTACTATTACAAAGTGATGCCATCCAGGCTTAATCCCTCTTTGCTTTAAGTCACAGTGACATCTTTAAATGCACCCCACGTAGGCTCATATTCAGAAGGGCGCTCCAACACAAGAACTTGAGAGGGACAAAAAAATCCAGCCTGGCTGGTGGTCATCTGGCCTAGGAAGCAGTCATCATAGTGCAGAGAAAAGAACAGAAGGTTCGAATCACAGACATGGGATGAATTCTGTGGTTCTGCCATTTCCTGGCGGTGGACCGTTGAGCAGGGAAGGAGCTAAGCTGTTTGAGAAGCAGATAATAGCTGCTTCAGATCTGTCAGGGTCAGGTTTCTAACATAACACACGACACACAGAACTCAGAGAACACCCGTTGTCAGTTCTTTAGTGTCTACTTATATTCTCATAACTCAGATTACCAACAGAGATAAGACATCAAGTAGTTACATTTAAAATATTAAAGGAGTACCAAACAGAAGTATTATGTTAAAAATATTAAGCAAGAGGAATATTGGCACAGGAAACTGTATTAACCACAACATTGTGCAGGGATGATTCAGGAAGTCTATTTCTAGGAATTTGAAATGTTATTTCTAGCTCATGGAGGATTAGAACGCTTTAGAAAGGGAAGGATTGTCAGAGAGCATCTAATCTGGGATGCCCCAATGCATGAACATCCCACTAGTGATATGAAGGATGCTTATAGGGGCACATGAGCATCAAACAGCATCGACTCACGGTGAGTTACTCCTCTTCCAATTCTTTCACTCTTTCTGACACCATTCAGATGGAAGTCTCAGTTTGTGACACTCTCCTGATCAATAAGAACCCATTTAAGCAAAGATCAGGCTCTGAAGACACAGCATCCAGAGGCAAGCTCACAAAATGTAAAATATTGTCCCATTCTCATTCGCTTTGTCTTTGCCTGTTACCTTCTGCTCACATTTTATTTCACTTATATTGGTGATAAATAATTTTCAAAGTAAATTTAAATGGAGTGAAGTTTAAAATGAGATAGTAATAATAATTTAGGTGCCACAATAATGTTATCTGCAATAGGCTGGTATATGTTAACCCAACCAAACCCAACCACGAGGGAAATTTACCCTGTGCCCCTCACAAGGAAATCCAATAAGGAAAGGAAGGCTCAGAAGAAAAAGGTAGTTTTCTAGGACCACACAGTTAGAAACCATCAGGACTGAAGCTCAGTTCTCCTACTCAGACAAATGCTACATGGTCTTTCCTCAGACAAAATGCTACATGATCAAACGGAAGGTAGGCTAAATTTAAAATGGCCAACAGACTGTACTGTGACTGAATCAGGCACTAATTCAGTAAAGCTCGCCTGTACCGTGTGAGAGGCCTGGAGGAAACAGAACACTCTAGTACCTGGTGCTGGAGACCAAAGATCTCAGCAGGTCTAGAGTAATAGCCCAGAGCACCAGGTCAAATGCCTGGGCCAGAGCCTAAGTGTGTCATTGCAGGGATTCCTCTTGGAAGCAAGCAAAGATGGCTTGAATCCCAGCTTCTCCACTTGGCAAGAAACCACTGTATCTGTCAGCTCATCTGTAGCCCACGCATTAGAAAAATTTATAAGACTGACACCAGCAAGCTGGACAATAGTGGCAATTACCTTTAATCTTAGCAGAGGTAAGAGAATCTCTGTAAGTTCCAGACCAGACCGGTCTGAAAATGAGTTCCAGGACAGCCAGGGATACATAGAGAAACAATTTCTCAAAAGAAAAAAAAGAAAAGAAAAGAAAAAAACAAAAGAGAAAGAAGCAAACCATTATGTATGGGACAGTTATCTCCCACCAAACACCTCTGATGAATTATCTCAGCCCTCAGAATAGCATTCCAGCATATTTTTCTATAGTTCCATAAGATGGAGGAGGGGTTTGGTCTCAGAATGGTTACAGGGTTTATCTGTATCTATTCAACAGAAGGAGTGGTAAATTCGGCTTCAAACCAAAACAGAATCAATCTAGAATATGTCCCTAGCTCCAGCACTGCACGGTGGGAAGAGAAATACAGGTAAGCCGCACCTAGGAAGCAGAAAATGACAAGGCCTTGTTGGCACTCTCAGGAGTCACTTGCAGTCCAAAATTCAGAATCAGCCTTTGAGTTGCTTATTTAAGACTACAATTCCCAGAATGCCACATGTGAAAACACTACCCAATCAGAATGCTGCAGGCAGAGACACTGGCCAATCATGCAGGCGGAGACGCTGGCCAATCAGGAAGCCTATCCTAGTCCCCCTCCCTTCCCCCCCTCCTCCTCCCCCGCCACCTCTTCACACCTAGCATCAAGTTGGCTGACTGTTGAGGAGCCGTCTGCTCAAGGTCCGTTGAGACGGTAACGAGGCTTTTCTTTGTGGTGACCAGTTGGGAAGGTGAGTTATTTGAAATCATTCGGTCACCAGGCGAATTTCCCAGCTGAGGGGAGGGTGGAGAACGGGCACCCGCAGGGTGGGTGAGGGCTGTGGAAATTTCCAGGCTGCCTTAGGCCTGTCCGCAGCCGCTGGGCAGGGCATGGGCAGCGGGAACTCGGTGACCCCCAGAGAGCAGAGGTCCTCAGGGGGTGTTGTTGGGGCCCAGGAGGAAGACGTCTGAACAGAATCTGACCCCAAAACCCTCTGTCAGAGTTGAGGACTCGGGCTGGGCCTGGGACAGGGGAAGGGCGTTAGTGACGTCATGCCTGCGTGTGCGCCATGTTGTCTCTGACACCACCTAGTCCTTGGGCCTGGATCTTCTGTGCCCAGTTAGATGTCACTTAAATAAGGGTAAAGCTGAGCTGACGCCAGCCTTTTAGGATTCGGGCACCCTAAGCCCTCTGACGCTCATTCCCCTACCCATTCAGGACGGGGCTCAGGACGTTCCTGTTAGTTTCATTTTCTTGTTTTATCAGTATTAAGTTTTACACTTATTTACAGCCTGTTCCCCCCCCCCCCAAACCCGAGTCCTGGGTTTGGCATGTCCAAGCAAGGTTATTATTGGCATTCTTGTGTTAATATTCAGGGACATAGAGGTGGATGCAAAGTGCATTTTATTCATTAATGTCTGGAAAAGAAAAGAATTTTTGCAGCTATTGTAAAGGGAATGTGAGGCAAAATAGGACAGATGGCTGGAATTCAGAAAAGTACAAAGCTAAGGTCCAGCTTGGTGACTTGATTTCATTACCCTGCTCCAACAATCCTGACGTGTAACTTCCCAGTGTTTCGATGGTAGGAGTGGCCTGGGCTAATTAATTGTAGTTTATTTTTCAAGTCATTTTGTGAGGTTTGACTAAAAGGTTAGTATCTAGTGAGCCATCTCTCCGCAGTCTCTCAGTTAGATATATTTACTGTACTTCATATAGCACAGTGTGATGGTGTATACATTTCAGGTATCCCAGGGCTTACCCTTGTCCACAGACGCTATGTAATCGCATCCTCTTTTCGTTTTAAAGAAATTGCAAGTGGGCACTGTCATTCAAGAGTCGGAGACAAGAGTAGGCTAAACATGGAATTAGGAAAGGTCCCACACAATTGCTGAATTATAAGGTAGTTTGTAAACGGTGAGGATTTCTGTAGAGGGGACTTTGTTTCTATTGTAAGGGCCCCATCTTGTGGATGTGGTTTGATAGAGAAGAAACTTCACCCCAAGATTTCCAGATGCAGTTGTTTTCAGATACAATTCCATTTGAAACCTGGAAAAACAAAACCACTTGATGCTTCCCTAGGTTGCAACTGCCCTAACCATTTAGAAAAGACAATGATTTTAGTTTAAAATTGCTATTTTTCTTTTATAAGTTACATTATTTTTTAAAGTACACATGATTATTTTTTTAAAATAATTTTTAAAATTTATTTTCAACTGTGTGTGTTTGAGCCATTTGTGCATGGGTATCTGAAAAGGCCAGAAGAGGCCATTGGGTCCCCTGGAGCTGGAGTTACAGGCAGCTGTGGGAGTCTGATGCCCAGTGTGAAGTGTTGGGAATGGATTTAGAGTCACCTCACCAGCCTCCCACGAAAATAGCTCTGCTCTGTACACCATTCCGGTTTCTCTTTTATAATCAGATGTTTAAGAATAATCATCATGACCACAAGCAAAGAGTGGAAGCCATGATTAAGAACATTAATACAATTTCTTTGGAGATGAAGAAGATGAAAGGTAAGGACGGACTCTAAGGACGGACTCGGTCAATATGTTTGCACGCCACTGCTATGCAAGACATGCTAGAGCTAATTTGTGCTTCAGCAAGGGTAGTTTCCCTGCTGATGATAGTTGTCTTGATAAGAAGTGTTTACAGTATAATCTCAACTATGTGTTTGAAGGTGCTGGGTCTGAATCCCTATTCCAGCACCACTAAGTTATCTACCTGTCTAAATTTCCCTTCCTTCAACAGTTACATGACTACCACATTCCACAAAATTCAGTGTCTTTATCCATGAATCATTCCTAAGCCCCTGAGGCATTGCCAGATTAAGAATTAAAAGTTTGAATCTATAAGTGAAATGATTTTCATTTAAAATATATTCTTAGTGTAATAATAGATCTTAAAGGTCATGATGTGTTCTCTTATTTTACACCTAGCCATGTGAACTTTCTGTGATTGAATGTTTCTAGGGATAAGCTCTCCCTGCAGCATGCTGGGGAATTCTCTCATCAGTTAACCCATTTCATTTTTGATAGTTCCTCAGGGATTAGCTGGGATCTGTACCCCGACTCTCTTCATCTATAGATCCCATTACTATCCCTGAAAACTATTTTGAGTGTAAAGTTATTCTTACAACCCTGTAGATGCTTTCTGTGTCACTTCTGGGACCTGCAGCTGCAAGTAACAGATACCCCCTTATGTAATGCACACCAGGAGAGAGACAATCCAAAGTGAGGGCAGCCCTGGAATTAATTCATTGGGGCCAGGTTTTCCCAGCTTTAGCTGTGTACTGTGTACTGTCCATGTATTCTGCTACTCAGCACCATTACTCCTGATGTGGCCACACAGACACTATTTCTGCCTACGATATCTTTTTATAAGCCTTTATACTGATAGCTCCAGCAATTCTCCATCCCTTATAAAAACATGAGGGCCATGTAGCAATGATAGAAGGCTTTCCCAGCCTGCACAAGACCCCGAGTTCAATCTCCATTACTGCAAAACAAATATCTTGGGAGAGAGGAGGCTTGTAATAAGGCAATGGCCAAGTTCTAAATAGGGAGAAAAGCAATTTACTAACTCGAGGACATTTGCGGTATCTTGTTCCTGATTTCTAATATACCCATGGTTTTCAGTCAAAATGGATCAGACCTCAGTAGTAGCTTGAACAGGAAATATTTGAAAACGTCATTAGAAATTAGGAAAGCATTAGTAGTTGTCATGACACCGGTGCCACCCTGTCTCCTTACACAGAACTCTCCCATATCCTGCTGTGTGACCTCAATCTCCATTTTGGTCAGCCCAAGAAGACTGAGGAGCCCAAGGAAGCAGAAACAAGCCACTCATTTGAAGAGACTGAGATACCAGATGTAGCCCTTGCTTCTATCAGTTTATCTGACTAAGTTTTTTCTATTTGTTTTAAATTTCTGGTTTTGCTGACTTAAAAATCTAGAATAAGTTTATTAGTATAATTTAAAACAGTATAAAATTATAAATAAGCCTATCATCTTCTTGAAAACTGGTCTTTTTTGTTTTGTTTTTGTTTTAATGTCTCAAAGGGAAACTGCTTTCACTAATGCTGGAAGTCTGATGCTGGAAACTGAGCTGTCTGTGTTTGATGTGCTAGCCTTGTCCTCTGGTGTAGACAGGCTTCTCCCGTGTGCTGGGCAGGAGATGGTAGCAGTGCAGCAGCAGACAGCTTTGCCTGTGCAGGCATGCCTAAAAAGAACTGATTTTCTTTCCAGAGAGGGACCCTGAATGACCTAACTTTTGTTAAGATGTGAATCCATGAGCAAAGAGCTGAGCAGTGGTGATAGATCCAGCTGGGATTATAAGGCCCGTGGCTCAGATAGGCAAGGCTGGCAGAAGATAGAATTGAAAGAACTCAAAGAAAGCATGTGCTCGTCCTGAAAACATGAGAATCCCATGATTGCAGTCATAGGAGTAGAAGAGAACACCTTATCCACAGGTTCATTTTTGCCCCTTCACCCTAAGAGATTCAAATACATTTTGTCTAATGTCATCCACTGCTACTTTCCTTGTTTCTGTGAGCAAACACTTGTAAAGAAGCAGCTTAAGGGAAGAAGGTTGGTTTGGGCTTATACTTTAAGAGAGTGTGGTTGCTAATGGCAGGGAGAGGAAGTGGTGGGCTGTGAGGCAACTGGTCACATTGTGTCCACCATTATGAAGCACAAAGAGATGGATAGTTTGCTCTGGGCACTCAGCCCACATTTAGGGTCTTCCCTCTTCAGTTGATGCTCTGGAAGCATCTTCACAGACACAGCCTTACATGATTCTAAAATTCAGTTAAATTGACAAATTTAACCATCAGAGCTACCAATAGATGCTTTGAAATCTACCATGTCCTTCAACTTTATCACCTTCAGATATAAAAATACCTGCAGTGTCCTGCTGCTCTCTCCCCAGGACCTAGCTCAGTGCTTTACACAGGATAAACGTTATAAATCCCTGCTGGGCATCCTACTGAAGAAATTAACACAGCGTTTTCAGCTTTAGCATCTCCAAGTTCTGGGTCCTAAATTGAGAGCTCTGGGTTTGTAAGGATGAGGTTTTGTAGAACATTATTGTCATTTGTTAAGCATCTCCACATTCTACCTACTCATCTAAGTGTGTCCTCTGTATTAACCTGGTGACTTTTAAGGTCCCTTCTTAAAACAAACAACTGGTTTTTTTGTTTGTTTGTTTTTAACTCATGAAAATAAAAGTATATTCTTTTCCACCTGAAAATTTTGTAGATCAGAGAAATCAAAACATTTGTCAATAAAAGTCACAAAGTGATGCTGAGAGTCCCAAAGGAATGAGATTGGAAGAACAAGGCATGTCAGTGTTCGGTGAATACTAGGTTATCGCTTGCTAAACTTAAACAACACTGCAAATTCTCATCGTACACTGATGTCTTGATAAAACTTATAGTGACAAGGGGAAACACTATGAACTGAAAATTCATTTACTGACAATACCCATTGAACATCAGAGCTCAGCCTAGCCTGTCTCAAACATGCTCAGATCATGTACGTTAGCCTGCAGCTGGGCAAAGTCACCTAATACAAACTCTAATTTGCCTTAAAATACTGAATATATGTTTCTAATTTATTAAATTTTCACAAACTCCCCACCACCACCAACAAAGGAAAAAAAACTACTTGCAACATATAATACTGTAAAATACTGTTGGGTACCTTGGTGGTCACATGACTAACTAAGACTTTCATATCACCTGTTGCTAGCCTAGGGCAACCAGAATTCACATTGACATACAGTGTGATTAACAGGCATCACTCCCACACCGTCATACAGTCACAGATGGTAAGGCAACAGAAACCAGAATCCCAACTGTACGTCTCATTAAGTGTGTTTTATAAACTGAAGGAGAGTTGAGATGCTTTGAAAGGTTTATAATCCAATCTGATAAGGATGAGACAGTCACAGCACATTCTTGTTTTGAGGGCAGAAAAGCACAGCTGAGGTTTGGATGGGTAATCTTCAAAGGCCCTTGTGTTAGAGGCTTGATCCACCCACCAGGGCAATAGTGGGTAGTGGTGGGACTGACCACAGGAGGACAAGCCCAGTGGGATGGCATTAGTTCAGTAGGTGCATTCCTTGAGGGAAATTACCGGGTCTTCCTTTCCTTTTGCCTCCCAGTCACCATGAGCTGCACGGATGTCTTCCATACTTCCTTACTTGAGTGTCCTGTATGAGCCACCGCAGGACACAGAACAAGCGACCATACTGAGCAAGCGACAAGCTTTCTAAATGAAAGCCAACCAATAAAAGGAATGTAGTAGGGGGGTGGGCTGGAGTGTGTGTGCGCACCTATGTGTGCGTGTGTACAAAGTATCGCCTCATCTTCCCAGGAGCTCCTCAGGGGGTACACTGTGGATACAGCTGGGGGATTAAAGAAGAATCACAAACCCCAGTGTGTTTGACAGCAAAATTGCATCACTAATTCTAAAACTGTTTCCTTCTTAGAGGATTTGTAGCTTACATTTACTTTAACACCAAAATATAACAGCATGGACTAAACAGTAAGGTTGTTTTGAGGATCTAAAAGAGTAAAGCAAAAGATAACTTTAATCCTAGGAGGTTATCCCAACATGCATTTATCTCAAATATGAAAAATCCATAAAAATACTCCCTGCAAAACCAAATAAGAAAGGATTTAAAGCCTCTTAAGTTATTGCTGCTCCGAAAAATAATTTTGTTTTAAGTTGTGTAAAAAGCAAATTGCCTCAGAATGATAAAGTTTCTATTGTAATATGTGTGATATCGAAAATGATCCATTTCAGTACTTCTTAAACTTGCCCCACATTATTTCTGTAGTATGGGAAGTACAGTATTTTGGGATGGATTGTTCAGAATCTCAGGTCTTGAGATGAAGTATGCAAACCCACTCTTAGACTTCATATGTGGACGTGATTACTTCTACACTTCGCAGACATGGAAGAAAATAAATAAGTTATGGGATATTCCGCAGCCTTCAAACACTTTTTAAAGGAAGAGCAAAACACTGTGCCCACACTGAGAGGCTTGCTTTGGTCCTAAGTGTTCAACCATTTCCTAAGGTCGCTTGATCTTCCCACATTGAGGACGGAGTCACGAAGGCCGACCTGCTGGGCTGACTTGTTATGGATACCCTGCAGCGTACGTCAGTGTGCACTGGTATCTGGAGCCTCTGTTTTTCCCATCAATGAGCAACAGTGGCATTTTCCTGAAGTAGTCAATAATACCTGATACAGAGAGAAAGTCCTGGAAAAGTCAAATGGGAAAATGAGTTAACATCAGAATGGACAGTACACATTTCATAACTGTTGTTTTCTTTGTTTTTCAATTCAGAGTTTGGAAAATTTGTGGGAAAAATAAAATTTGTCAAGTATTTTAGAGATTTCTTTATTGATAGTCAACACATTTTAAGTAAGAGATAGCAACGTTAGGTTGGGCCAGCAAGATGACTGAGTGGTTAGAGGCCTGAGGACCTGAAGTCAATCCCCAGGACCCACACAGAGGGAAGAGAGAACTTACGCCTACAAGTTGTCCTCTGAACTCTACACATGTGCCATGGCACACACAAAAATAGAAGTTTGGTTTTGTTGTTTTTTTTTTTTAAAGGAAACCTTTTAACTTCTGTAGTGGCTAATTTACCCTAAATATTTCTGTTATGATACCCATGACTTGGTATTGGTCTCTGATTTTCATTTCTGCTTGGGTTTCTGTATCCCCACATTGCCACAACCCAAACTTTTAGGAGGTGTAAAGAACTAGGAGGTCAGATGGGGGTCATTTCTGGAAGTGAAGCTTTAGCATGGTGTGACCATCTCTCCCCTCTCTCCTCCACACTGCCGGATGAGGGATCAATAACTGTAACTTGGACCACCCAGTACAGACAGTCTAGACCCACACAGCCCTCTAGACGTGACCAGAGTCCGAGCTATACCTAAACTGGATTGTACAGTTGTTCCTTCTTCTGAGGAAACTTGTTTTCACATCAGAGAAATCTTGGGAGGTGACACTCTGCCTCTGGGAAGAGTATGCAGCTCCATCGACAAAACAAGTGACCCAAATGTTCGACCAAAATTGTGTTGTTTCTGCTTAGCACTGTCACCGTTTTAAAGTATTTAAAATTATTAGTGAATTGTTCTAATTCTGTTAATGTCTTGATCAGATGGTTTTCTTTGTGTAACATAAAAAAGTAAGTCTTAGAATGTTACGTTTGTTGGTTTTTTTTCATCAAAAGCAACCTAATGATGATTTTCACACCAAAGATTTGACTTGGTCAAACAGGATAATTTCTTTGGTAATATGACCATCTTCACAGAGCCAAATGTCTCAGTTTAGCAAGAAATGCCCCAAGTATCGCAATAATTACTGTAGCATCATTCTAGGGTTCTCTGCTTTCTTATATGGGATTTCAAATTAAAAATTTTTATTATTACTCTGTATATGTGTGTACATGCTTGTCTGGATGTGTACCGTGTGCATGTAGGTGCCCATGAAGGCCAGAAGAGGGCATGAGAGTCCCTGGAACTGGAGTTGCAGGAGGTTGTGAATCACCCAATGTGGATCCTGGGAATAGAGTCCCAGTCCTCTGCAAGAGTAGCAAGTACTCAATTTTTGAGTCATCTCTCCAGCCCCTTTGATAGTATTTTAAATGTTTTATAGGTATAAGCATAATCATACATTGAAATTACATCAAAAAGAAGTCAAAATAGATGATACTTACTGCCGTTGACACTTCCTAAATGTATTTTTTAATTTCAAAAGTTACACTACAGGACCAGCGATAGAGCTTGGTGTTAGCACCTGTCTGGTGTGCACAAGGCCCCGGGTTTAGTCCCAAGCATCACAAGCAGGTTACATCTATGATGTTGGACTATTTAAAGTGAAAATACAAAAAAGACCCCTCTAGTGGAATAAGTCACTTGTAGTGTTTGTCTTCTCTCCTTCACTAACTGGATGGCTTTACTATAAAGTTCTATCACAGCATCACTTATATACAACACATGATTTAATTGAATAGCTGCTATACAGCATGTGATTTAATTGCATAGTTGCTATATAGCATGTGATTTCACTGCATGGTTGCTATACAGAGTGTGATTCAGCTGCATGGTTACTATATAGAATGTGATTCGCTACATGGTTGCTATACAGCAAGTAATTTCACTGCATGATTGCTATATAGCATGTGATTTCACTGCAGAGTTGCTATATAGCATGGGATTGGGGGAGAGAGTGAAGCATGGAGCCCTTACCTCTTTTCCTCGAAGTCCAGTCCCCAACAAGTACACTTGACTTTCCTCCTGGTAACGGATCTGAATGTTGTAAACTTTGTCTTTGTACAACACCATGAGGACATATGGATTGTTTACTGTTTTCTTAGAACTATCTCTTACCAGAAAAGTACCATCCTAGAAGAACAGATGCTTGTTGTTAATGGGAGCCCTGAAGGTTAATTCTTTTGTTGCCTGTAAGAGGCAAGACTCTAGGGGCCAGCAAAGCTGTCAATTGACATTGAGTTCTTCTCACAGCTGGGATCCCAGGTCACCTAGATCTTTTGATTATTATGGGAGACAACTGAACTTGTATCTGAAGTTTCCAAGTTAACAACCAAGTTGAAGCTTTTAGTTTTTGTTTTGGTTCTTCCAGATAGGGTTTTTCTGTGTAGCTCTGGCTGTCCTGAAACTCACTCTGTAGACCAGGTTGGCATTGAACTCATAGAGATCCTCCAGCCCTGCCTCCTGAGTGTTGGGATTAAAGGTGTGTACCACCACCGCCCAGCTTTTGGAGATTCTTGGTATAATTTTTTTTCAGCAATGGAAAGAATCAGCAGGTGAGTGAAGAGCCATAAGAAATAAGGTGCTCACTTACTGTATACTGCTCACTTCTGTTAACTGTCTAAACTGCCTTTCCACGTTCTCACTCAGAACACACTGTTCGTGAAATGCATCCCCCCCCTTACCCCACACACTTGCTGTATTTACATCTTTCCCATTTCACACCTGAACGAAAGTGAATGTGTACTTTCTATGTTCTTGTTACCCTTTTCCCCAACACTTTGTAAAATGTGATTTGTTCTGTAATTTTCATACAAGAATTATTGCAATATAATAAAGCATGACAAAGATCTAATATTGAAATAGAGCTAATTAGTAAGACCAATGTAAATCACTCCCTCCTCTATGTACTTAATTAGAATGAGTTTTAAATAACCATCAATATGCAATAACGAAGCCTTTGTTCCTTTTGTTCGTAGTTAACTGAACCAGTCAAAACATATCTGGTAAAGAAACTTCCCTCTGGACCAGTGAGTCACAGATTTGGCTTGAATTCAGTAACCTGGGGAGTCTGAAGACTCCTTCAGCCCATCCTCTACTCCCACTTATTAAAACTATCTCCCCAAAAATCAGAAACCCAGATTAAAAAAAAAAAACAAAAAACCTGAGACTGAAAATGGTTGCTGTAGCCTTAACAGTGTGAAAGATGAGGGGCTGTTGTTCTCCCATCTCTGACCGGAAGACCCAGCATTAAGAGTCAGTTCTGGACATGAGCAAAATTTTATAACATTAAGATTAACTAGAAATTTCTAGGAGACTTTGCAGATATGCCTTCAACATAGGCCTTTCTCATGAATTTGAATAGTAACTGAGTGTTAGGAAGATGAATTAACAAGATGTCTGAAATGTTGCACGATTCTTTGGAACAAAAAAAGACACATTCATTAATGAAACTGCTTAACACTTGCCAACCAATGTTTAGTAATGGCTTGGAGGAAGCAGTCTATGGGCGCTAGCAGGGAGGATGGCAGCACTAATGGCTCTTAAAGGAATAGCAGCAGGAACAGCAGCTAGCTCATACTTGAGTCCCAAAGCATATCTTTCCTTTCTCTTCCTCCACTAATATTTATCAGTGCATAAATATAAACGGTCGAGTGATACCTGGTTTATCTTCCTGAGAGCAGCTTCCGCCTCTGCCCGGGTAATATAAGAGACATACCACTCTTCATCTAATGGAGTCTGCAAATAAGAAATTTAAAAGCACTGTAAGTTCTGTAGTTACATAAGCAAAGTGAAAAGAAACGAAGAGGGAAAAGCCTAATATTTCCCATAAATCACCACCTCAGTTCTCCAGGTTTTGAAACATTTGTTTTCTTGACTTGAATCACTTAGATGGGACTACATGGAAGGCATTTTGTGCAATTTGCTTCTTTATCTTGCCACTGGCTGCAAAAGCAGCTATGTAGGAGCCTCCCTTATATAATGGAACCTTTCATCTGAAAAGACAGAGAGATGAACTTTTCCAGCTTATTATATAGTAGTAACATACTTAATGAAAAATCTCTTTTAATGGAGCAACTAAGAGACTTAGTCATTCATGGCTATAAACCAGGAAACATGAAAAAAATGGGATTGTTTTTCTCACTTATTAATGCCTCTCAAAGACTGAGAGAGCACTAAAGGAAACATTTCATCTGCATCTTCCCCTCAGTCTTTGATTTATTGTGTGCGGAGCTGTGGATTCAGGGCAAGGCTCCACACGGTGCAAGGGTTTGAGCACTGAGCTACACGGCTGCCCTCTTAATGAAATGGCCATCAACAAAACTCTAACAGAAGACACAGACAGAGCAGAGCAGCTGATGAGAGTTTCTTACGGTCCCTTTGCCAGGGAGAAAGGCAAACAGAAG